AAAAAAAAAAAAAAAAAAAAACCTTACCAACAGAGCTGGTCAGATGGCTCAGCAGGTAATAGCAAGTGTCACCAAGCTCGATGACCTGAGTTTGAGCTCTGGGTCCCAGATCATGGGAAGAAGGAATCAAATCCTATGAGTTATCCTCTAATCTCCCCACCTTTGCTGTGATGTGTGCACATGAGCCTACACACACACACACACAATCAATCAATGGGCTAGAGAGATGGCTCGGTGGTTACTTCCTATGCAACCATGATGGGGAGGGTAGGCAGAGGGAAAAGAGAACCCTTTGGGCTTGCCAGTGGGGCCACCATGCCTCAGAGGCATATAAGGCGGCAAGTGGTGGAGGAAGATACTGAACACCTTCTGCTGGCCTTCCCACACCCGCAGAGGTTCATGCACCTGCCAGCTCCGACATGTTGCACACACACCCACACACAACCCAAACCAAAACAAATTATCCAGACTCCTGTATTTCAGCTCATCACACTATTTTTGCAAATGGAAAGAGGTCTAGTAGCTGAGGGAGAGACACGAGTGTGGAGTCAATGCTTCTTAATAAATGCAGCCACGTGTCTGTTTCAGTAACGACTAGTTTGCAGGCTTGCAGCCGTCCAGTGGTCATTGTCTGAGTAGCTGTGTCCCAGGCAACAGAGATAGAGATCGCAGTGCCATTTTATGCTTCTATCCCTAAGTCATATAGTTGAAGGGTCTCTGAGCTAGAGATCAAGGACCCAGGCTCTGGTGCTGGCTCGTTGCATTGTCTCACTATGCAGTAGTCCTTCCTTCTCCTGCATCTCAGTTCTCATCTGTGAGATGGTTGCTAAGCAGCCCATCACTCTCAGGCATACAAAGAACCTGATAAGATAATAGAATTTTCCATGGAGAGCAAGAGGATTGGAGCTATCTGTCCACTGGTTCTATGAAGGCCTGTGACCTCCTATGACCTTCAGCTAACAACAGTAAGTGCTGGAAGGCAGCAGAGTTGACCTTAGAGGGAGCTAGCAGCAAGCTTGGTGCCCCTGAAAAACAGGGGCAGATGACAGTGAAGGACAGGGTATGGGTGCCATGTCTTAGGCGTAGGTAAACGTTGTGTGCTCTTTGCCCTGTTTAAAACGAAACAAAAAAAGGGAACGGAGAAGAAAGAATCGGTCTAGTCTCATGGTGCACTTCTGCGGAAGCTCTGCCCTTACTCCGTGTGTAATTTTCCTCTTTTGGCAGGAAATTAACTTTTACAAGGTCATCGACTACATCCTGCACGGCAAAGAAGACATCAAAGTAATCCCGTAAGTTTCACCGCCGGACACGACACACTGCAGGCATGTTTCCGACACCTTAAGTCTGTGGCTCCTGAAACGAACTCTGATCAAACCCTGGACAGCCATGTCCAGGGTAGTTGGAGGCAGAGAGAGCAGGGGGAGCCGTGTGAAACAGTGGAGAATTACAGGGTGGTGGAACCCACAGGGGAAGAGCTGGATCAAAGACAAGCATGCTGGATTATGTATCAGGAGGAGTCAAACTCCCGTAGCAGTCTGTGTTAATAAGCAACCTCAGCACCCCACCCAATAGGAAAAAAAAAAAAAGATGATTGAGGCTTTCAACCACTTCTGGGCTCCAAGAAAAGGGCAAAAGCAAGAAGCTGGGAAAAGAGCCAGGGAGGAAGGACGGTAAGGGTGTGTAGAGGATGAGGATGATTTTAGGAGTAGAGAAGTCGCAACCCTTTTTGGGATAAGCTTGAGCTGTTTTGAGCAGCAGCATATTCCAGAAAACGCATCTCCCGGAATCACTCCCTGTACGGAGAACCACCCCCAGAACTCTTCCTGGAGCCCGGGCTCCCTTTCTCACCTTCACTGCAGGCCCCTTAAGCTGCCATCCGTGAGAGGGCCACACCTTTAGCTGCCGCCCCTCCCTGCAGAGCCAGAAAGCTGAAGGGATTTACCCTGCATTGCTCTAATCCTCAAACAGTGGAGAGACCCGGCAATGCTGACTCAGCCTCCGCCACCAGGTCAAATCCTAAAATACTCCTCTGTCGCTCAGAGAAGCAGTGCTCGGGTCTGTCTTCTGCTAGTTGAGGATGAGAAATTGTCTCATGTGTTATGCCCCTGTCATGAGCCCCCCAGAGATCATCAGGAGTCTGAGTTCGCGTGCAAAAGCAAAGAGCCTTTATTGCAAGATTAAGCTTGGGCTTCCCATCCATTCGGACACAGCGTTGGATCAGGGAGAGAACGTCAAGCTCGGTTGAGGCAGGGTTTTTAAGGAGTAAAAAAATGGAGGTGTAGGGGAATTCTAGATTCAGATGGGGGTTGAACTCCTGATTGAGCAGGAGTGAAGTAACAGAAGTTTTGTCAAACAGTGATTGGTACTGGCGTTGCTACAAGGAAATTGGCAACCTATACATAGATTATGTAAACTATCCTTTATGTTTTAGAGCATTTAGTACTTGTTTGTCTCAATTCTGATTGGTCCCCCGCAGGGTACAGTTTGTGGCTTTTCCTGGTTATTGTAAGGGTGAGGCCTAGGCCCAGTCCTAGCCCTGTCATGGCTGCACTGATGTTAAGTTAGGCCTCTTCATCTCACATTCCCCTGTTGCCGGGTTCTCTATTCCAGTGCATTCCTGTTTGTATAACTACTGGTTGGTTCTGGGGGTGACGAGATGGCTCAGTGGTTAAGAGCAGTGGCTGCTTTTCCAGAGGACCTGGGTTCAGTTTACAGTACCCACATGGTGCGTTTATAACTCCATAGCTTCAAAGGGCACCAGACACTCACATGGTGCACAGACATACATGTAGACAAAACACCCATGCATATAAAAAATTATTAAAGTAACAGTTCTTCGCCGCCACCACCCCTTTCTCCTTCCCTTTCTCTCCCTCTTTTTCTCTTTAAATAAAGTCTCACTATCCCTGGCTGGCCTCCAACTCATAATCCTCCTGCCTGAGTGCTGGGATCACAGGTGGGTACCACCATGCCTGGGTCTGAGTTTTTCTGAGCACAATTTCTTTTCATCTTTAGTTTTTCAAGTGTGTATTCTTCAAACACCATGCTCTCTAACCTCCTTTTCTTTTCCTTTTAAATTTTATTTTTTTTCTCCCCTCACCTCTCTCCCCTTTTAAAAAACGGGGTCCCATGTAGCCCAGGCTGGCCTAGAACTTGCCATATAGCAGAGTCTAGCCTTCAGCTCCTGATTCTTCTGCCTCCATCTCCCAAGTGCTGGGATTACAGGCAGGAGCCAGGACTCCTTGCTTCTACCCCCTTTCCTAACTTCATACTTCTTAGACTCATTTTATGTCTTTTACATTATCACAAGTCACAGCTTTCCTCCATGTTTTTTACATGTGTATACGCATATGTGTTCATATGCTGTGAATGTATACATGTGTGTGCACATGTAGAGGCTAGAGGTTGATGTTGGGTGTCTTCTTGGTCTCTCATATGAACCCGGAGTTTAGTAGTTTGCTCTGGAGTTTCAGTCTCCACATACTGCTGCAATCACCCTGCCCCAGTGTTTTCTTTCTTTCTTTCTTTCTTTCTTTCTTTCTTTCTTTCTTTCTTTCTTTCTTTCTTTCTTTCTTTCTTTCTTTCTTT